ACCCTGTCCCATTTCCGCTCCTACCCCAGGCCACAGAAGCAGCAGCTGCTCGAGCTCCTTGCCTGCCTGGGCTGAGCTGATTATATGCAGCATGGATTGATTGGTGTTGACAGGGAGCTATTTACCCGTCTAATTAATTATGCCAACTAATTTTCAACTTAATTGCACTTCTTGGGTCACTGGGTAATGAGACTGTACAAATTTCATGCTGGTGCAGGCCTTGATGGGGAGGTGGCAGGGGGAGGGTGGTGGTTGCCCCTCAAGTCAAACAGACACCCTGTCCCTCCAGGTTCCTGGGCCGCCCCACAGAAAGCTCTGGATTCCTACTTGAGTAGCTTCTGCCTGTGTAAGCTGGCCTTTGCCCCAGGAGCCCTAAGCCGTTTATTCACCCAACAAGCATTGATTAAATGCCTACTCTGTGCCAGCCCCAAAGTGGGAGAGGTGCTGGGGTGCCAGGAAGCTAAGTCATGTCTTACCAGTCCCCCACACCCCTCCTCAAATTGCTCACAGTAGAAAGGAGGAGATTTTCATTTACACCCGCAGTTACCAGAATTCGGGTGCCGATAGAAGTAAGGTCTCCGGAGACAAACCCAATCCAGGCTCTGCCGCTGGGCCCTTGAGGAATTTCCTTACCCTTCCTAAGAGGAATGGCAACCCACTCCAGTATCCTTGCCTGGAGAATCCCATGGACAGAGGAGCCTGGCAGGCTACTGTCCACAGAGTTGCAAAGAGTCAGACACGACTGAGTGACTAACAACCACCCAACGCCTCATTTTACAAACACATTGCAGGGCTGTGGCAGGATGCAGTATGTCATATAATATCAGCAATATTCTAGAGAATAGACTGGCGCTTTCTTAGGCTGAAGAATGGAGCAGAAACTGGGCAAGGCTGGACCACTTATCACACATGCCTTCTCTCTTAGATCTCACACCCTTTGAGGTTCATCCCGTGAACGAGGCAGAAGGCACTGTGGTCACCATGGGGACCAGACCACCCGCCTGTGACTCCTGGCTCTGTCACCTCCCAGTCAGATGACCTTGTTAGTCAGGTAACTTCTGTGCTTCAGTTTCCTTCATCCATGAAACAGAAATGGTCACAGCACTTACTCACAGGACTGCTGTGACGACTGAATGAGTTAATACACGCAGAGCACGTAGAATAGCACCTAGTACTTAGAACATGTTCCCTGAGTGTTCTGTGATTATGTGGACAGAAAAGTCAAGTCCAGGGGGCCCTCACACTTACCTCCCCAGGTCACATATGATCTTAGGCACAGTCTGAACCCAGCTGGGCCTGATTCCAAAGACATGGAAGCTTTTTGCCTTTGCACCACTCAAGGAATTAAGCGTCACGGGAAGATGAAGCAGTGTACCTATCATTAGTACAAGCCTGACTGAGGCAAGTTCTAGAAGCACCCTGTCGGCTCAGAGGAGAAGCAGTTAAGAAAAGGCTCCCTCCCATGGATGGTACTCAGAAGACCTTAAACGCTGAGAAGGATTTAAATCAACCATGACGGTGGAAGCAAGGACTTCCCGCTGAGGGGGCGGGCTGAGCCAAGACAGGGGACAGGATCTCCCACATGGGTGAGGGCCCTAGACCAGGGTTCCTTAGCCTTAGCACTATTTTTTTTTAAGACTTTTTTTCAGGTGGATCATTTTTAAAGTCTTTATCGAATTTGTTACAGTACTGCTTTGGTTTTATGTTTTGTTTTCTTGGCCATGAGGCAGGTGGGATCTTAGCGCCCAGACCAGGGATCGAACCCATGCCCCCTGCATTGGAAGGCAAAGTCTTAATCACGGGACCGGCAGGGAAGTCCCTGCCCTTTTCCCTTACACACTTTCTGGAACTGAAAAGGAGGTTTGGATGGTTCTGAGTGGAAAAGGGCAGGGGAAGGGGAGGGAGAGTGAAGCTTGGCAGAAAGCACATGGGCTTTGGAGGGACCGTGCCAGGGACTCACTAGCTGGGCAGGTTACTCCACTTCTCTGAACCGTGCCTTTCACGTCTGTGAAGGGAGGCCTGATCCTCTGAGTGTCCCTCAGCACAGAGAGCCAGGGTGCGGGGAGGACTCGACGACAGCCAAGTGAAGGATGTCTGCACACATCGCAGACCTGCAGGGCCTCCAACACTTGGCTCGGGGCTCAGCACTCAAGGGGCCAGGTAACTGAGAGCTTCTGAGCCTCACAGGGAATCAGCTCAAATCCCGTGGATTATCATCCCCTCACCGGACTGGGGACCGGATGCAGTGACACAGACTGGAGAACAGGCTGAGGACCAGAAGAGATGGAGGAGGGAAGGCTCGAGGAGAACGTGGGCGAGAGGTGAAATCCACCTGCACGAGCAGGGTCCGGGGGAAGGGAAAGGGTGTGGAGGCCAGCTGTTCTCATGTGTGTGATAAATCAATTCAGTCATGTCTGACTCTGTGACCCCATGGACAGTAGCCCACCAGGCTCCTTTGTCCATGAGGATTCTTCAGGCAAGAATACTGCAGCAGGTTTCCATGCCCTCCTCCAGAGCATCTTCCCAACCTGGGGATCAGACCTCGTCTCCTACGTTCCTAGCACTGGCAGGCGGGTTCTTTGTCACTAGCACCACCTGCGAAGCTCAGGTGTTCCCACAGATGTTCGTAAACCCCAGATGTCCACGACGGTGACCTGCTCCTTAACACACCTGCAGCAGCTCCCCTCCCCTTTCTGTCTCACTCCTCTGCCCCCCATAAGTGCCTCTTGGGATCACTTGTACTGGAATCCTAGCCTCAGAGTCTGTTTCTGAAAGAACCCATTCAAAGACAGTCATGGAAACAGCTTTTTGGCAGGAAAGAGCTCCCTGCAGGAGGTACCCCTTTGTCTTGTCACTAACCTTAAAGAGGCACCCCCACACTCTACTCATCTTCTGGCCCTAGCACACCTTTCAGATCTTTTGATCACAGAATACCTTGCCTAATCTGTTGGTTCTTTCCATAGATCAAAGAAGTAGAAATTAAATAAGAATAAGTAATTAACAGATGATCAGATTCCTTCCCTAACTTCCCCTTCAGTCATCTCATGAACAAGCTGTGTGAACAAGATTGCATCTTAAGAAACATCACAAGAGGTCAACAAGCCTGCATGCAGTGGGGGACAGTGATGAACCTGAGTCCTTATCTCAGAGAGTAACTGAGACTACTTCCCTTTTTCTCTTTAAAAATCTCATGGCTTATGACCCAGCAATCCCACTTCTGGGCATACACACCGAGGAAACCAGATCTGAAAGAGACACGTGTACCCCAATGTTCATCGCAGCACTGTTTATAATAGCCAGGACATGGAAGCAACCTAGATGCCCATCAGCAGACGAATGGATGAGGAAGCTGTGGTACATATACACCATGGAATATTACTCAGCCATTAAAAAGAATTCATTTGAATCAGTTCTAATGAGATGGATGAAACTGGAGCCCATTATACAGAGCGAAGTAAGCCAGAAAGATAAAGACCATTACAGTATACTAACACATATATATGGAATTTAGAAAGATGGTAACGATAACCCTATGTGCAAAACAGAAAAAGAGACTCCTATGTATAGAACAGACTTGTGGACTCTGGGAGAAGGCGAGGGTGGGATGTTTCAAGAGAACAGCATTGAAACACGTATATTATCTAGGGTGAAACAGATCACCAGCCCAGGTTGGGTGCATGAGACAAGTGCTCGGGCCTGGTGCACTGGGAAGACCCAGAGGGATCGGGTGGAGAGGGAGGTGGGAGGGGGGACCGGGATGGGGAATACATGTAAATCCATGGCTAATTCATTTCAATGTATGACAAAAACCACTACAATGATGTAAAGTAATTAGCCTCCAACTAATAAAAATAAATGAAAAAAAAAAATCTCATGGCTGAGCAGAATCTCAGGAGGTGGTTTTACAGGGACACTGCATCCACCATCTCCCCAAATTGCCAGAATTCTGATTAAAGGCAACTTTTCCTTTTTACCAACGTTTTTCTCTATCTGGAGAACTGATTTTTGAGTGTCGAGCAGCGAGACCTGATTTGGTAACACCAGGACTCTAGGTTTTGCAATCCATTGACATGGAATTGATGATTCCCTGATCTGGAAAGAAAATGTGGCTTCCCCCTTAGGGGTTCATCTACTTTAAACACACCTGTGGCCACCTGCCCCTCCAGCACTGAGAACAACAAATCCCATCGGTCCGTGGGTCTGACATGACTGAAGATTCTCAAGACAGTATTCCAAGCAGACACTTCCAACAGCCTACTGCTGGCCCCAGGACTGGCACCTCTCTGGTGGTTCTGCTCAAGCACCACCATGGCAAACACGAGAAGGAAAAAGAGATGGGAGAGAAGGCTTTTCCAGGGGATGGGGAGGTCTGGGAACTTGGGGAGTCACCGAGAGAAAGGAGGAACACCAGGCAGACAGTTCTGCCTGGCAAGCATCCAGTTTCCCTTCTCACACAGGGACCAGATGGATGCAGGATCGCAGGAACTTGGCAAGAAAACTGTTTTCTTTGAACTAATCGGCATCTGTACTGAAGGGCTCAGGAGGGGTACCCGAGGCACCAGGGTGACGCCGGAGCTGGGAGAGCCTGCTGGCTTCGTAAGTGGGGCCTGAGGAGCTCGGGGAGAATTGCACAACAAGCTGGAAAGCTGGCTCACCGTGACTGCTGGGAGGAGAGGAAGTCTCCCAGGGCTGAGTGTGCCCGGGCATGAAGGAGCCAGCCCTCCTGGCTGGCGGGCAAGGCGGGCGTTGCTCAGAGATAAGCCAGCCCCTGGCGGTGGGTGATGAGCCCTGTGAAGCATTGCTCCGGACAGCAGCTAACCACCTCCTCGGAGCAGCAACTCTTGGCGGCAGGCCGCACAGCAGTGCCAGGAACGGGTGCTTTCCAGAGGTGCCAGGAGTCCCGCTCCTCTTGGGCTGTGTGGCCCTGACATCAGGAAGGGCTCAGGTGCCAGCCGCTCCCCACCTCCCCGCCCCCCACTAAAACTCAGGATCAGGGCAGCATGAGCCGGGCAAGACACGTGGGCAAGATCCAGAAACGCCTGGAAGGTGTCAAGAGCCAGTGGGTCCGGCCAGCCAGGGCTGACTTCAGCGACAATGAGAGCGCCCGGCTGGCCACAGATGCCCTCTTGGATGGGGGTCCCGAGGCTTACTGGCAGGCGCTCAGCCAGGAAGGCGAGGTGGACTTCCTGTCCTCCGTGGAGGCCCAATACATCCAGACCCAGGCCAAGGAGCCCCCCTGTGCCCCGGAGCCCCCAGGGGCGGCCGAGGCAGGCTCCAAGGGGCTCGACTCCTGCTCCCTGCAATCAGGTACCTACTTCCCCGTGGCCTCAGAGGGCAGCGAGCCAGCCCTGCTGCACACTTGGGCCTCCGCCGAGAAGCCCTACCTGAAGGAGAAGTCCAGCGCCACCGTGTACTTCCAGACAGACAAGCACAGCAACATCAGGGACCTCATCCGCCGCTGTATTACCCGGACCAGCCAGGTATCGATGGTGGAGCCCGTGCCTCCTTGGCCACAGGGATGGGAGTGGGGGGTTGGAGGAAAGGAGAAAGGGGTGCCTCCTGCTCTAAGACATGCAGTCCAGATGACTGGAGCGTAGGGTGGAACCAGGGATGCTTCTGCCTGGCCCTAGATCACTGACTTCCAAATTCCCCCTTGTCACCATCTGGGTTTCCTGGCCATGCATCACTGGAACTCCTATAATAGCTTCCCTTCTGACCCTCCTCTCCCATCTCGATCCCCGACCACCTAGTCTCCAAGCTGCTCTAAACACTTTTTACATTTTGGCCATGCCACGTGGCCTGTGGAATCTTAGTTCCCCGACCAGGGCTTGAACCTGTGCTGCCTGTGGTGGAAGCGCAGTCTAAACCATTGGACAGCCAGGGAAGTCCCTGTAGACAATTTTTCTATACTTCAAATTGAATTTGTCCCCTTTACTGCTTGGAGTCTTTAGAGGCTCCCACTTACCCCACTGGGAAGAGCTGACTCCACAACGCGGCTCACAACCCCTCCAGTTCCTCTCCCCTTTCTGCCACTCAATCCTGGGCGACCTGGAGATTTTCAAACCCACCAGGCTCTATCTTGAGGCCTCTGCACATACTGTTCCTTCTGCCTGGAGCCGCCTCACCTTCCTGGCATCTCCTCTAACACCTACTCCTTCTCAAGACCAAAGGGGACTGAAGCCCCCTTCTCAGGCAGACTTTCCTGAGTTCCCCAGGCTAGGTGAGGCACCTCGCGTCTGTGCTTCTGAATGAAGGGGCTGCTCCACTGGGACGCAAACCTGTCCCGTTTCCTCTGGGACTCGTCTGGACCTGTCTGTCCACAAATTCAGCACAGTGCTTGAATCCAGCCGGTGGTCGGCAGAGGACAGAGGAAGCAGCAGAAAAGATTTCTCCCTCTCCAGAGCGTTTACCTTTTAATAGGTGACTTTAGAGGAAGAAATATCCTTCAAGACCAGAGCTTAGCTGGCAGAATTTAAGGTACCGAGACTGGCACTTGGTCAGGAGTTCTCCTGTTGCTCCTGGAGCTGTTGATCCACAGGGGCTGCCCCCTGTCGGCCCGGGAATGGGGGAGGGGGTCATTCTACCCGTGTGCACAAAGTGACTACTCAGCAGAGGGGTATGGGTGCCCCCTCTCCTCCCAAAACTGCAGAGGGGCAGGGGTGAGAATGGCCTCCCAGGAGAAGACTTTGTTATCTGTAAAGGGTCTCCCTGTCTCACCACTCAAATTGTTTATCTTACATGTATGTGTGTGCGTGTTAGTCACTCAGTCGTGTCCAGTTCTTTGTGACCCCATGGACTGTAACCCACCAGGCTCCTCTGTCCATGGGGATTCTCCAGGCAAGGATACTGGAATGGGTAGCCATTTCCTTCTCCAGGGGATCTTCCCAACCCGGGGATCCACCTGGGTCTCCTGCATCACAGGTGGATTCTTTACCGTCTGAGCCACCAAAGCATTAATTCTGTTATATTTAAAAGAACTCGAAAAAGAACAAATTGATATTTAAGCTCCTTTTCTGCTAAGATCCCACTCTCATTACGGACTTCCCTCCCAAGTCCAATACTGTGTGAAATCCTTTTTTTTTAAAAAAATCTTTATGTATTTGGCTGCACCAGCTCTTAGTTGTAGCACATGGGATCTTTGATCTTAGTTGCACCATGTGGGATCTAGTACCCCAACCAGGGATCAAAACTGAGGCCTCTGCACTGGGAGTGCAGAGCCTCAGCCACTGGACCAAGGTCCCTGTGTGAGATCTCATGGCTCCAGAAGAAGCCACCAGCAGTGGGGAAGCTGTGCGTAAAAGAAGAGAGGGAGTAGAATTCTGAAGAACAAAATAGAAGGTGACAAGGGGTGGAGCATCGACTTTGACATTGCTGGGCTACTTCAGAGCAATATTTCACGTTTTGCTGATGTTTTGCTGATGGGCTCAGGCAGGCAGTCAGGAGTGCCCGCACTGCCTGGGGTGGGCCACACGACCCAGGGCAAGTCCCTGGGCCTCCCCAGGCTCCAGATTCCACACTGGACTAGGGTCCTTTCCAGCTCTCAGGGCCTGTTCCTAAGAGGACCTCTGGCTTCTCTGTGCTGAAGTTCAGAGCTCTCACGAGGGGCGGGGACCAGTGGTGGTGGCGAAATTCTCAACCTCAGCTGCAGCTTAAAGGGGGAGTGAGGCTCCTGGAGAGCAGCCAGGTGAGGGCTTGTGAAACACTGTGTCCCCCACCCCCACCCCAGCCCACCGCCAAATCCTTCTCCTCCCCTGACCCTACCTCGGGAGGCTTCTCTCTCTTCACCTCTGTGAACTGGAGGCCTGCTGCTGTCCTTTGCTCTGTCCACACATGTTACAAATTTAGGACATTTAAAAATCAGAAGATTCCACTCAACAGTAAGAATTCCCAGCTCCTCTAAGCAAGTCAGAAGACTGGCTCTGCGGGTGCTGAGTTGAGGCCACCCCTTGGGTGGGTCACCTTCACTACCCTCTTCACCAGTCCCTCTCGTCCCAGGCCCTGATGTTGTTCTCGTTGTTGTTTAGTCACTCAGTCGTGTCCGACTCTTTGTGACCCCACGGACTGCAGCACACCAGGCTCCTCTGTCCTCCACTATCTCGCAGACTTTGCCCAAAAGCATGTCCCATGGACAGAGGAGCCTGGCAGGCCATACAGCCCATGGGGTCGCAAGAGAGTCAGACACAACTTAGCAACTAAACTACAACAAAGTCAAGGAAGGCCCTGATGACCTTCACCCATTTCGTTAGCTGTCAGGCTCCGGCAGGCAGTTTGTGACATCACTCCCACACACCACACACATACACACACACACACCACACACACACACACACACACACCATACACACACACACACACCATACACACACACACACACACCATACACACACACACACACGCAGGCAGTTTGTGACATCACACACACACACCACACACACACCATACACACACACACGCCATACACACACACACACACACACACACCACACACACACACACCATACACACACACACACACCACACACACACACACACACGCAGTTTGTGACATCACACACACACACACACACCATACACACACACACACACACGCAGGCAGTTTGTGACATCTCACACACACACACACACACACACACACCATACACACACATACACGCAGGCAGTTTGTGACATCACACACACACACACACCATACACACACACACACCATACACACACACACTATACACACACACACACACCACACACACACACCATACACACACACACGCAGTTTGTGACATCACACACACACACACCATACACACACACACACACCATACACACACACACACCACACACACACCATACACACACACACACACTCAGTTTGTGACATATCACACACACACACACACCACACACACACACACACCATACACACACACACGCAGTTTGTGACATCACACACATACACACACACCATACACACACACACACACACGCAGGCAGTTTGTGACATCTCACACACACACACACACACATACACGCAGGCAGTTTGTGACATCACACACACACACACACACACACCATACACACACACACACCATACACACACACCATACACACACACACCACACACACACACCATACACACACACACGCAGTTTGTGACATCACACACACACACACCATACACACACACACACACCATACACACACACCATACACACACACACCACACACACACACCATACACACACACACACACAGTTTGTGACATCACACACACACACACACACCACACACACACACACACCATACACACACACACACACACACACACACACCATACACACACACACCACACACACACACACACAGTTTGTGACATCACACACACACACACACACCACACACACACACACCATACACACACACACACACACCATACACACACACACACACACCATACACACACACACCACACACACACACCATACACACACACACAGTTTGTGACATCACACACACACACACACCACACACACACACACACCATACACACACACACACACACACCATACACACACACACACCATATACACACACACACACACCACACACACACACCACACACACACATACCATACACACACACACACACCATACACACACACACACCATACACACACACACACCACACACACACACTATACACACACACACACACACACCACACACACCATACACACACACACACGCAGTTTGTGACATCACACACACACGCAGGCAGTTTGTGACATCACACACACACACACACACACCATACACACACACACACACACGCAGGCAGTTTGTGACATCACACACACACACACACACTCAGTTTGTGACATCACTCACACACACACACACATGGCTCAGGAGTGACCAGTGACCTGTCCCCACAGGGATGCCAGGGAGGCTGCATCCCCAGTCACAGGCGGTCCATGGGAAGCAGCACCCACACAGAGGAGGAGGGTGGGGACAGGTTTGTGTTCTCCCTGTGCTATGGCTTCAGCGCCCCCAGAAGAGAACAGAGAGGGATGAACAGAGCCAGCCGGCGGGGTGTTTCCCAGCGCAGTTTACATGCCCTATGGAGCAGGAGTTCTCCCTGTTTCCTGTTCTGCTCTCATCCCTTTATTCCACGAAGCCTACATGGGCCAGGCCCTGCACCCAACAAGAGGCATCCCTCCTCCCAGCCACTTGCCCTTAGGGGAGCGGAGGGGACACTGGACTTGAACAACCCTCTGTGCCTGGGAGCAGAGGGGAGCATGACTAAGGCAGGCTTCACAGAAGAGGTGACCTGTGAGTTGAGTCTCAGAGGCTGAGTAAGAGTTTGCTGAGCAGAGAAGGGAGGGAAAGGAACTCCAGGCCTAGGGCGGGTCGAGTGCAGAGGTCAAGAGGAGGGAGAGGGCTGGATGCCCTGGAGGCAGGGAGACCTGGAAAGGACTATCTGGAA